CTTTACTGGGTTTGTCAGGATCCTTCCTCTTCAAGGAGAATTTGCTTTTCATTTAAATTTACATTTCTGACGTTTTACTTGCTTATGGTTTAGAGGCGTGGCATGACCAGCGGTCTGCTTCGTTCCTCCTTTATATCTGTCACAATTTAACTTTTACTTTTTTTGTCTGTGTTAACCCGCACATTCTAATTTTTTTTTTTGGTTTGGATTTATTTGAGGTGATTTTGTTTGCGATCCAAGTAATTTAAATAATAAAAAAAATACTTCTATTTTTTTTATTTATTTTTTTTTTTTTTTTTGGAGAGGGGCAATTGTGTAACCGTCATTTTGACAGTTACCCATTGATTTTATTTTATTAGTTTTTTTTACATCTATAACGGTATAGATGTGAACTGTTAAGTGGTTTATTTTTAGTTTGACTAATTGTTAAGTTTATTTTTATTAATGATATTTGTTTAGTTGCCTCTTTCCAAAAGAATTTAATTATTTTTATTATTTTGTTAATTACCTGGTTTTGATAGTATGCAACCCAGAACACTTCTAATTTCTTTTGATTCTTCTCGACAACATTCACAACATCTTGGCAACGTTGCATTTTTTTTGTTTAAAGAATCTTCTACGCACTTAATAAGGTTTACGTTGGCCTTTTCGATTTTGTCGTTGAAGTGATTAGATGAGAGTTAAGTTTGTGCTTAAATTATGGAAAATTTCCAAAAATACGTGGTAAATCTCTCAATCTAATTGTATAATACCGACCAAGACAATTTTCGTATGGTGCTATGAGCTCTGGGTGAGTTTTTGACCTGTTGCTGAAATTAAATGTTTTATCCACGAGGTTCTCCATTTCAGGGTTATGTTATTCCCTTATTTTTGGTCTTTATGCAGTCCTGACGTTGTATAGTTATAAAAACTCCTTTAAACAAGGGTAAGTTAGGCGGTTAATAGTTTTTTTAGATGCTTGGGCATCATACCACATTTTTTTTTAGGGTTTTTATGTTGGAGTTTTTTGTAAGACTTTTTATGTCAGATTTGTTATAAAGGAATGGTTTTTTACCCTGAACTTGTTTTGGATAATGGCAAGTTCTTACGTTATTTAAAAGCCATCCTGTATAATCTGACATGGTAGGAGACTTTAACATCAGAAGCCAACCCATTCGGAGACACACTCTACCAGGGCCCCAACTATGAACAGGTCGTACCATTTTAGAATATTAATGTTCACGTACACTACACTCCTTATAATATATTTTGTTTGTGTACTTTTAAGTTGAGAGATCAACATAGTTATTTTAAGTATATTTTTTTTGTAGCATCGATAATATTTTGTCAGTTATCAGACTTTGGTTTTTGTAAACCATATATGGCCATATAAGGGTGCACCAAAATATTTATTATTACATGCAAAGTGATCATTTTAACATCGGTGAACAAATATAACTGATTTATATTTTTTTTAAACTTGACTTTTAATAACCACCCTTAGTCTTTAGTAAGATTGTGTCTGACTTACTTAGATTTTAACAACTGGCCATAATAAGACACTGGCGCCCAATTTTGGATTTATGTTAGTAAAAACACGTAAGTATTAAGAAACAACATTTGCCCATCGACCCATCTCACCACTGTAAAGCTGCCGTTCGCCATAGCCCTCGAGTAGAGGTTACAAAGTGTGAGAAAATGCCTTATGACATGAGTTCTTTATACTATTTTTTTATTTGGCAAAATTTTAAGAAAAATTTAAATTATAAATAATATTTGTGTATCGTTCTTTTGCCATAGAGACAGTACGAAACGCAAAGGCGTATTGTGCTTATTATTAAAAAAAATTAGATGCCAACATGTGAGGGAACCCAGACTCATTTTATTTTATTGTCCGGATTATTGCGAATTTCTTGCCGTATAGTTTAAAGAATTGGATGTTGTGGATACACTTGTTTGATTCCCATTAAGGCGCTTAATGAGTCACTTTCACAGTAAAAATAAGCTTCACACTAGGCTTCACTATAGAATACTGGTTATAGCTTGAGCAGGTCCACTTTATTAGAGTTTAAATTTTCAACTTAAATTTAGTGTGAATTTTAGTGTTGTTTTAACTCTAGGGTTGTTCTCTTGTAGTGTAAATCATTTAACACAGTTCGTGCGACTTACAATATTTGATTGAAATTTACTACACTAACCATGTTCAAGTGTTCACTTTGACACCAATTTATTTGCATTTATTTCAGTTTTAGTGTAAATGCTATTTCTAATATTTCTGAAAAATTAATCTATCCAGTGTTTATCCTAACACTAATAGATTTAAAAGTTGTACACCAATATTGTGTAAGATTTGTTTCTGCAGTGCGCCCTAAGTTACATACATAAAATTTATTTAATTTCGATAAAAATGGTATAATACATATATAATATATTATTATTATTATTAATATTAGTATATTATAGACCAAGCGGAGAAAGCACATATTATCGCCGAGCATACATTTCACTGCAGAGGCATTAGCCGATGCAGTAGATTGTGTGCGAGGCAATTATATATAATATAATTATATATAATATATAAAACAGTAATAATAAGCTTTCGCCGCCCTGTTTTATATACTATTTTTTCAAGCATTTCATTTTTTAATTTCTTAAAATTCTGTCACATCATTTTTAGGTTAGGTTCAACTGACGATGACATTTTAGCTTTATTTCGGTACGGAGTTTAAATTTATAATTTAAATAGTTTAAATTACTTTTGAATTAGTATTAATATGAAGTCCTTTTATATAGACTTTTTTATAATATATTCATTTATTTTTAATCAATATATGAATAGAGACCGGTCTTTTAGGCACTTAAAAATGAGAAAAATGCTTCTAAAAAGGCAACCAAAAAAGGCAAAATAGGCAAGAAAAAGGGAAAATAGGCGCATAAAGGCAAAAATAAAATTTAAAAATAAACGCGTTTATTTTAATACATCTATAAAATAAACAAAAAACATGTTTAACATAACACTGTTTATTTGTCATTGAAGTAACAAACAATAATTTACTTACGTACCTATGTAGGTACATAAAAATAAACACTGTTTATTTGGTATTGAAGTAACAAACAATAATTTTTTCTTACTACCTCTACTCAAAATACGTTGTTTCGTCCCCGATTCCACGGCAGAAAGTTTACGTTTTATGCATTAATCAAGCTATACGCGCACACTCTAATAGCGGGAGTAAAAATTTTTTAGTCGTGTGCTTAACATTTAAATTTCGTACTGCCAACATGAGAAACACAAAAATATGACAGTTTTAAACCATAATTTTGCAATTATAACAACAAACAAACAATTTATGTTTTTACTTTTTTACTTTTTATGTTGTTTTAAGTGTTTAATGGTTCTTTTATTTGTTATAAAGTAGTAATTTGTTAATTAAAATACAACCTTTTATTTTTACTGTATTGGCACCGCTGAATTCACGGCTTACTGTTATTTATTTATCAAGCTCTTCAAATGAAGATAGGTACATAAATACACATTTAATTTTTTCCCGTATTTTCGGCCGGGTTGTATTTTCGGCCGAGGTAGTAAGAAAAATAGTATAGGTACACTACACGGGCAGAAAGTGTGAGAGCAGGAATCTCACACTTTCTGCCCTTGTAGTGTAATATACTATTTCTATATTTTAGGCTGTAAGATTATATCGTTTATATAAGAGTATATTTAGATGATGTAATTGGCATGTATTTATAGTTAATGTTAATGGAGGGTGGTAAGGTTATATCATTATCACCTTATAGAATTTTATATAAATATATGTAGGTATATATAAACCCTGGATTATTGTCCAAAACATATTTTAATGTTTGCTGAATTTTTTTTTCGATAGCTCCCGGAATTTAAGCTCCCGGAATGCAATTTAGTCAATATATCCCTTGATTCTAATGTGGAAAGTTTATTAGATTCTAATTGTTTTATTGCTTCGGGCTAGGGTTTTAAAATTCCCGGAAAAATTGAGCCGGCAAAAAAAAAGGTTTTTTTTCGAAAAAAAAAACGAAAAAATTGGGAAATTTTAAGAAAAATCGACTTTTTAAATTTTATTTAAAGGGTAAAACAAAAAAATGCAAAAGTCAATTTTTCTAAAAATTTTCAAATTTTTAAGAATAATATCCGTACACTGATATCGACAAAAAATTTATTTCCGACGCTGATTAAGAATATTCAACAGGGCCGCAAAAAATATATTCAACATATTTATTTCACACTTTGATATACAAGTTGAAGAAAATTATATAAAACACTTTGAAGTACCGTAAACACTTTCAAACTTTAGCTTAAAATTTTTGTGGTTTTAACAATCATAAACATTAAATATTGTATACCAAAATTTAAGTCTTGCGTTGCTCTTTCATAATAACTATGTTATAATATTACGTAGGGCTTAGTTTCAAAAATAAAAATTAAAAACTGGGTGTGCAAAGTTACCCCCTGGTTGCGGGTAACTTTGTCTCACAGTGTATTTTCCGTATAAAATTAACTTAATATTTTATTTTATTTTTATTACACACATGTTATCAGCAACATATAGCGATTGCACGGGATTACCGATAAAAAAAATAAAAAATCGACCTGTAGTTAACCAAGGATTATCATTCCAAGGATTGCTTCTAATATAGAAATTGTAACGCGTGTATATCTAAGAGTTCTGCACTGATGCAAAATAAACAATTTTAAAGTGTAATAAATCACATTTATTTTTTTAAAACACTGATTTTTCTGTAATATAACCTCAATAGAATCGCTCAATTTACAGGTTTAGACCAATAAATTATAAATGTTAATTTTATCGAACGCGAAAATATTTTTCATAAAAAGGTTAAAGTCACCCGCAAAGCCAAAGTATGGTTTTTTTTCTGAACATCATGTATGGCTAAATTTAAATTGCTCATTATCAAAATGTTGCTTTTTAACCGCACTAAGATTATTTCTAAACTAATTTAACCTTTCAAAAAACGACGTTGCTATGATTGATTCAACTTCATCTTACAAAGGTACGATATTTGACAACACTGTCGCATAATCAAAAAGTAAATAGACACCAATGTAGATGTAAAAAAATGTTATCAAAAAAATACAAAATACAAATTTTGTTTTTGTTATAACGTAAAAACCTGTATTGTTAAAAATAATTTCACGGCAAAAAGTTTTTAAACCAATAATTTTTTATATAAAACTTTTTTTCTATCCCTCACAGGAAATACCTTACAATTAGAAATAAGCTTCAGTTTCTATTAAAACATCAAACCAAAGATTATTTTTTAAAAATACATTTTACATTTATGCATATACATAAAAATAACAATAGACTTTTAGGCCTTTGTATATCTTATACTAATTGTGTTATAACTAAAAAATGTCTTTCATTGCTGCCTGAGAAATGATATCACCCTGGTATTAACAATAATCTGGATTTCCAATTAATCAATTTAATAAATCCTGGAACTTTAAAAAATCCATTTTTTTGGGATTATATGAATCACTGTGCAATGTTGATTAAAATTTTATTAGACATAAGACAATACTGAATGAAATTCTGCTGTTGATTTTTTAAATAATTTACTTTTTGATGAATTTGAACCGTTATTATTTATATATTGTATAATTCAGGTCTAATAAAAAATTATATCTATGTTGGTACATATCTGAAATTATAAGCAATAAAAAAATAATAATAAAATCATAAAATATAATAAAATGGTACTGCCTTTTTTATAAAGAATTGAAACCTTTTTTATTTTAAAAAATAAATAATTTCTATCTTAAAAAAATTACCTTAATAACATTGAGTTTAACTTTAAAAAAAAATAAAGCCTGGTAGGTCCCTCGCTCCGACCGCGACAGTGGTGTCATCAGCAAACATTGTTAAATTTGTATATTCAGGAATACATTTGGTATTGTATATGTATTCCTGAATATACAAATTTAACAATGTTTGCTTATGACACCACTGTCGCGGTCGGAGCGATGGACCTACAGGCGCTGAGGATGTCATCGGTGGCACAGGCGAGGGCCTCGGAATGGTTTTGCTGTAATAAATTGAGTCTTAACATGAAAAAAACTCAAAAAAAAAAAAAAAAAAAAAAAAACTTAAAAACTAATGGTGTTGATACTTAAAATAAGGTAAAATTTTTGGGCAGCCATTTGGACCCAAAACTAACATGAGAATGTCATGCAAACGAAGTCTCACTTCAACTTAGTCGGTCCCTCTCGTGCAATGTTTCCCAAGAAGTTCTAAAAATGGCCTACTTTGGGATCTGTGAATCTATAATAAGATACTGCATCCTCGCATGGAGACATAGCTCACACCACATATAAGATTTTTCGAATACAACGAAAAACAATAAGAATAATAGCCAGACTCAAATACAGGGCGGATTGTAGGGGTGTATTTAGAAAATTGGGCATATTGACATTGCCCTCCATCTTTATTCTGGAATGCCTTATATATGTACATAAAAATAAATCTATTAAATTACAAAAAGATGTACACTGCAGTATTTACTTTAAGGCGAGTGTCATGGCATGCCATGACACTCGCCTTAAAGTAAATACTCGAAAATCTTTTTTCAGATTAAAAAAAGCCCAAAATGGACCAAATTTTCTAGCATACTCTTTTTACGACAAAATATATTTGGAAACGCAAAGGTTACCTCTAAATAAATTTAAAAAAATATATAAAAATTGTCTCATATGTCATGCTTTTTGTGGGTATGAGGAATTCCTAAACTGCGAAGCACCACCATTACTTTTTTTTATTGGCTGTCTTTGTTCTATGTTTTCATGATGTGTGTAAGTAGATCTGTAGATATCTACAGTGTGGAACTCACTTATGGAATTCCGGAATAAAATTCGTTATTCGTTGAGAAAAGATTTTTATGAAAAACGCTCGGACACGTAAACTTTACTTTTTTATTCAAAATCTTATAATGATAATTTTAAATTGAATGCCTCCACCATTTCCCCCCCCCGCACATAAGGCACCCTCATCTCAAATAACAACCCCACTTTTTTCATCGAAAATTGATAGTGTACATTTTTTTGAGTACGACGATACCACATTAATTAAAAATTCAAAAATAAACTGTTCTTCAATCTTATAAATGTTCAAAATGTCCCCCGTCCACTTCCTGACACTTTAGTAATCTACTGTGAAATTGTTCCCGCACTCTGTTTAAAACCTCCGGTGTAATTTCTCCAGTAATTCTGTTTCTTAATTCATCTAAATTAGCACGTTGTGTTTTAAACACCCTGTTTTTTAGATATCCCCATGGAAAAAAGTCTAGAGGTGTTAGATCCGGTGATCTTGCTGGCCACTCTATAAAACCTCTTCTTCCGATCCACCTGTGTGGAAAGGTGTCATTTAAATAATTCCGTACAGGAAAATCATAGTGAGGTGGGGCACCGTCTTGTTGAAGCCATATCCTTTAATTGGAAAGATTAGGTTCCAATGGATTTGGAAACAACTCTGCTAAAGTTGGGACAACTTGTTCTCTTAGCATATCCAGATATCTTGCTCCGTTAAGATTTTCACTAGTAATACCACTAGAGGTCAAATTATTTCCGGAAATTTTTTCGAGCTCATGAATATTTTGAAAATTATCCCGAGTCGAAGACGAGAGATAATTTTCTAAAAATATTCATGAGGGAGAAAAAATTTCCGGATTTAATTTGACCTCGTGTGGTATTCGATAAGAAAATTCCACACCAAATTGTGTTTAAATAATTAAAATTTATTTTTTGATTTAACTTGACCTCGACTTGATTATTTAGTTACCATGGCAACTAAGTCAACCCCAACCTAAAAGTTATTTCAGTTTTGAAGCTGTCAAGCGGCACGACGTAAAAAAATGTGAAATTGTCTGCTGTAATGATCAATCATCGTGCAATGACTTATTTACCCGCATTATTAGAGGATTGTGGCTCCTACTTGAAGAAAGAAAATTTGTTTTAAATTGTTCACGAATATTTGCATCTTAACTATTCAAAACTCAAAGTGCTAAATGGAAAAAAAGGTGAATAGAATAGTGTCTAAATATTATATATATTTCATTAAACATAGACATTTAATTTATTTCAAGTCCTGCATTTTCGCCATTAAGAAGAAAGGAGGTGTCCAACGAATATAGAAAACATCTAAACTTTGTAATGGAAATGTATCAAAATTATCATGTAAACAAATAAAAACCAGATTGTCAAAAAAATATTCTGTCATTATAAACGTCAAAAAAATTTCCAGTATAATTCGCTGTTGGGTACCCACGAGGAAAAAATTTCCACTTAAATTCAACCGTTGCCATGGTGATCTATCAAAAATACACGTTTTGATTGGTTAAAAATTACAGGTGTGGAATTTTCAATGAAAACAGGTCCCACCACATGATCACCAACAATACCAGCCCAAACTTTGATTTTCTGAGGACGTTGGGTATGACTTTGTCGCATCCAGTGGGGATTTTCTTCTTCCCAGTACCTGCAATTTTGTCTATTTACCTCGCCATTTAATAGAAATGTTGATTCATCAGAAAAAAGAATATCTGCAGAAGAAATAACATTCCTGTTTAACATATGCAGCATTTGCTCGCAAAATTGTAATCTTCTATCAGAATCACCATCAATCAATTCTTGTACGTGTTGTGGTTTATATGAATGCATTTTTTCGGCTACACATCTTAAAACGGTCGAATGACTAACGTCGTTTTCACGTACAACCTGAAGCGTAGAAGTTCTTGGATCTTCTTGAAAGCTAATAAAATATTTACTTTCACATTTTCATCAATAAAATGAGGCGTCCTGCGTAATGGTTTAACGTGTCCATATTCAGGAAACTGTGCATATATTTTAGACACAGTTGCCTGAGAAAGTGGTAGTAAATCTGGGTATTTTCCATTAAAAAGGTTTGCAACTTGCTGTTGTGATCTACACATATCACCGTAACCAATCATCATTAATATTTCTATTCTCAGAGTTTCTGTCAAGTGTCGTATTTTTTAATTAAAATATTAACTGATACTTGGATCTAACAAAATATTTCAATAAGTAAAGCGCAAAATGTTTCATTAATAATAAAAATTTAAACAATGCAAAAAATATAAACAATGCAAAAAGGACAAACGCAAAAAATGACATTAACAAAAAACAATAACAAAGCGAAAAAACATGAATATCTAAATAGCGAAAGCCACAACACAAAAATTCATACTTGTAATTTTTAAATATTCACCCTGTATTGAAAATTACGGTTACGTACACAAATGTGCACTATCAATTTTCGATGAAAAAAAGTGGGGTTGTTATTTAAGATAAGGGTGCCTAATGTGCGGGGGGGGAAATGGTGGGGGCATAAAATTTTAAATTATCATTATAAGATTGAAATAAAAAACAAAAGTTCACGTGTCCGAGCGTTTTTCATAAAAATCTTTTCTCAACGAATAACGAATTTTATTCCATAAGTGAGTTCCACACTGCATAGTTACATAAATAAATTATTATTATTATTATTAACGTATTGTTCAATCAAGAAAGGGCACTTCTAGAATTCCTTCTAATATGTATCTGGATGATAAAAACTATGATGATGCAGGTGGTATTTTTCTATTTTTTCTCTAAAAAGAAATCTAATTCTTGCTCTCTAAAAATAAAATTGTCAAAATTGTACTATTTAAATTAGTACCAGCATTTTTACTAATAAAATAGGCGTTTTCACTTTTAAATAGTTATTTTTTACTACTTAAATAGTTAAAGTTTGACTAATTTAAGATAAGTCACCATCTTTGACAATTTCTGAGAGTTAAAAGTAACTAATTTCTTTAATTGTTTGCGGCCAACAACAGAGTATTATTTGAATGAAATGCATATACCTAAGCTCCATGGTTAAATGACCCATAAAAACCAATAAAGATGCAAAAAGTTTAGCTCAAAACAGCAGCACAAATAATATATTCAACTTTAAAATATTATGAACAATATTTATTTACAAATAAAATTGATTTTT